CCCCCGGCCACGCTCCTCCTGCCCCCCCTGCCCGGCTCCCCCTTTGGCCACAGTCCCCCCAGACGCCGCGTCAGCCTGTCTCCCCCCAGCACTGCAGCTCCCCTTCCAAGGGCGAGACAAACAAGCGGTGGGATTGTTCGTACTCCCCGTGCCCCATTCCCATGCCCCCTGGCTGTCCTACTTTCTGTCTCTGCGAGGGGCCCTTCCCTGACCCTGCCTTCAGCCGGGCGGCCCGGCTGCACCGTGGCCTCGTCTGAATGCGGGAGGGATTCCAAGGGGCTCGGGGAAAGACACCCCCAGCCTCCCGCCCGTCCCGGTCAGGCCGAGGTCTCCGCACGGCTCCCGTGAATGCTGGCGACACCGCCTCAGGGCCAAGGGCCGCGGGGGGCTGGTGCCGAGCCAGGCATGCCATGGCCATGCTGTCGCCCACCTGCCTTCCCGCGGCACACAGCCAGCCCTAGGCATGGGTTTCAGACTCTTCCCGAGGGAGGCGAGAGGGAGGGTGGCATGCCAGCCCCGGTGACGCGGGCACTACACTGCTATACACACAGCCCGGGCTGCAAATCAAATCCACCAGCACCGCACAAGACCTGAGTTTCACCCAGCCCGTCTCTGCCGCCTTGACTCACTAGCCTCCTGTCTACAGACCAGGTTTCTCCTGCCTTTGCGGTCTGTGGGACGCGCACACTTAGAATCCTGCACGCAGAGGCGGTCACCTGTCTCAAAGCAGAGATCTTGGCATTGGAGAAAGTTCAGAAAAAGCAACAACAGTGGTTAGGGGGTTGGCCTGGGTGCCATAGGAAGAGAGATCATAGAATCATAGAATCATATTCATAGATGAATAAGACGGGGACTTTTCAGCCTAGAAAAGAGGAGACGAAGGGGAGATAGGAGAGAGGTCTATAAAATCCTGACCAGTGTGGAGAAAGTGAATAAGGAAAAGTTACTGACTTGTTCCCATAACACGAGAACTAGGGGTCACCCACTGGAACTAAGAGGCAGCAGGTTTAAAACAACCCAAAGGAAGTATTTCTTCGCTCAGTGCACAGTCAACCTGTGGAACTCCTCGCCAGAGGACATTGTACGTGTCAGGACTTTAACAGGGTTCGAAAAAGAGCTAGATAGGTTCATGGAGGTTAGGTCCATCAATACTTATTAGCCGGGGAGAGTAAGGAGGGTGTCCCTAGCCTTTGTTTGTGTGCGAATGGATGACAGAGGAGCGATCACTGGATAATTCCCTGTTTTGTTCACTCCCTCCGGGGCACCTGGCAGCCAGGATGCTGGATTGGATGGACCTTTGGTCTGACCCCGTCTGGCCATTCTTATGTTCACAGTATCGGTGATATCCCCCCTACCCAGACCTTTCTTCCCTCCTGGAACTCACTGGAGGCGCCCGTCCCGTGTGAGCGAGGCCGGGAGTCAGGTAACCTCAGAGATCTTTGGCGTCTCTACCGCAGTGGGCCGCACGCGTGATCCACGGCTGGGCAGAAAACAAACCGCTATGGAAATGAACGGGATTCCTGATCGTCTTCGCTGCTCCCGATTGGCTAAAAAGAGAGCATCCCTCCTAGCCTATGCTAGTACAGCCCCTAGCCTGCGCTTCCCCTAAGCACTCCGGCAGCACAAAGGTTACACGAGGACCCCGCTGGCAAGGCAGCCTCCTTCCTTCCAGGGCCGACATCCCCGCCTCAGGAACCAAGGCGAGGGCCAGGTTTTTCAGAGAAGGGAGTGGTGAAGGGATGAGTCGATCCCTTGGGTACAGAACCTCTCGCTCCAGCCTTGCCTACATACCTGGGCAGGGCAGGAACTGACCTTGGCAGCCAGCAGGGCCGATCCTTTCAGACTGAATGTTCTGGGTGGGGTTCGGTATTTCGGCCGAACCCGGCCCATGGGTCATGGAATCACAGGACACTAGAACGAGAACGGACCTCGCGAGAGCATCGAGTCCAGTCTCCGGCAGGACCAAGCGCCGTCTAGATCACTGTTTCTCAACCAGGGGTACGAGTACCCTTAGGGGTACCCGAGAGACGTCTGGAGGTACCTTACCACAACTACAATTTGGAGAAAACTGAATGGTTGTGTTCAATTTTCCAGCGTTTTATTATTTTTGTACTTTTTACACCCAAACATTGCATTGCCCGCCCGGCTACGATTCAGTGTTGCAATGGTAGAAAAAATATTGTGTCTGAAAACTGTAGGGACTGGGGGTACTTATAATCTTTTTTAAAGGGGTACTTTATATAAAAAGGTTGAGAAACACTGTCTAGATCATCCCGGACAGGTGTCTATCCAACCTGCTCTTAAATATCTCCAGTGATGGAGACTCCATATCCGCCCTAGGCAATTTATTCCAATGTTTTACCACCGCGATAGGCAGGAAGTTTTTCCTAATGTCCAACTTAAACCTCCCTTGCTGCAGTTTAGGCCCATTGCTTCTTGTCCTGTCCTCAGAGGTCAAGGAGAACAATATTTCTCCCTCCTCTTTGTGACACCCTTTTAGATACTTGAACACTGTTATCATGTCCCCTCTCAGTCTTCTCTTTTCCACACTAAACAAGCCCAGTTCTTTCAGTCTTCCCTCCTAGCTCATGGCTACATCTACACTGGCACCCTTTTCCGGAAATGCTTAAAACGGAACAGTTTTCCGTTATAAGTATTTCCGGAAAAAGCGCATCTACATTGGCAGGATGCTTTTCCGGAAAAGCACTTTTTCTGGAAAAGCGTCCGTGCCAATGTAGACACGCTTTTCTGCAAAAAAGCCCCGATCGTCATTTTCGCGATCAGGGCTTTTTTGCGGAAAAGAAATCTGTGCTGTCTACACTGGCCCTTTTCCGGAACAATTTTCCGGAAAAGGACTTTTGCCCGAACGGGAGCAGCATAGTTTTTCCGGAAAAGCACTGACAATTTTACAGTAGATCATCAGTGCTTTTCCGGAAATTCAAGGAGCCAGTGTAGACAGCTGGCAAGTTATTCCGGAAAAGCGGCTGATTTTCCGGAATAAGTGGCCAGTGTAGACACAGCCCATGTGTTTAACCATTTTTGTTGCTCTTCGTGGGACTTTTTCCAATTTCTCCGCATCTTTCCTGAAATGTGGCGCCCAGAACTGGACACAACACTCCAGCTGAGGCCTGATCTGTGCAGCATAGAGCGGAAAAATTCCTTCCCGTATCTTGCTCGCCACACTCCTGCTAATGCATCCCAGGAGCATGTCTGCTTTTTGTGCAACTGTGTTACACTGTTGACTCATGTTTAGCTTGTGGTCCACTACGACCCCAGATCCCTTTCTGCAGGACTCCTCCCCAGACAGTCGCTTTCCATTCTGTATGTGTGACACGGATTGTTCCTCCCTCAGTGGAGAACTTTGCATTTGCCCTTCTTGAATTTCATTGGCTCAGCCTCGGGCCAAAGTGCTGCTCCAGGGACAGAACGGGAGTAATAAACCTTCCCCGAGATCAGTAATTAAATCTGCTCTGTTTCCCAGTCCCTGCCCCTGCATGAGTCAGCCTGCAAGAGGCCAAGGAATGCCAGCAGCATCGCGGTCTAGTGAGACCAGGAAAATCCAGATCTTGGTCACAGGAGAGAGGAGGCGGGCGTGGGAAGTTTGGGGGCAGAAAGAGAGCTGAGCCTGGTTTTTAGGATAAAAATATGGCTCTCGTCGACTGTATCTAGAAGGCTTTAGGGCTAAAGGGAACTGCTGGGATGCCATCGTAACAGCAAAGGAAGACGTGTTAGTAGCTGAGGATGGGTAGGAAGTTACCCGGAGCAGAGCCGCACCTCGATACATACAGGGTGTTCTCTTCAAAGGCCCCTCACCCGGCGGAAATGCTCATATTCAGAATTCAGATAGCCAGGCCCCGGCTGCGAAGGAACATCCGGTAAATTAGCAACTGAAAATCCGCCCCTGCCGTTTTGTGCCCATAATTAACTGTTCCTTGCAAATGAGCGGTCGCCCAATGAAATGAATAGGCAGCAGGTTTCAAACAAGCCAAAGGATGTTTTTCTTCCCACAGCGCACCGTCAACCTGTGGAACTCCTCGCCAGGGGATGTTATGAAGGCCAAGGCTTTAACAGGGTTCGGAGGTTAGGTCCATCAATGGCTATTGGCCAGGATGGGTCGGAATGGTGTCCCTAGCTTCTGTTTGTCTGGAAATGAATGACAGGAGAGGGATCACGTGAGGATTCCCTGTTGTGTTCCCTCCCTCTGGGGCACCTGGTGTTGGCCACTGTGGGCAGACAGGACACTGGGCTAGATGGACCTTTGGTGTGACCCAGCCTGGCCATTCTTATGTTAAAACCGGAAGCAGACTTGAAACATTTGCTCTGGGGGTGTTTGCAAAACGGTGCTGTTTACACATAAATCACATTCGGCTTAGACAGTCTGCCTAGAGGAGTATTGCGGAAATAACTGCAGCTCCTTTCCTATGCCTGGCCCAATTCTCTAGCCCATTATCTAACAGGAACATATCAGGAAAGACCCCTTTGTAACGTCCGTGCAGAAAGGAACACAGGTGCGCTTTCCATAGCGTCAGGCTACACTCGGCTTCGCTCTGCGCCGCCAACAAAAATAATCACACGCCTAGGAATTCAGCGACCCTTCCAGTTGTGCAGCTGCACCTTTCTGTGCATGCCAGGCTGTATCTATCCCAGGGCACGCTTGCTAGACCATCCCTGGGCTTGGCACGCCGCACGGAACAAGCTGAACAGTTAGGGAGAATTGCAAGGCCAAAGGAGAATAGAGAGCAGGTGTTCGTGCCAATTACGCATACAATGCTTACTGAGGGCTGCTGACCAAGTCCAGTCCCACTCCCCCCGCCCCGCTGCATTGGCAAGGATGCACAACCCAGCGATCGCTCGCTGCTGAATAGGCGCTCTGTCTACTACACCACACAGCCTTCCCGAAGCGGCGTGATTGGCAGTTCTCCAATAGCTAGAACGTTCATTCTAAACTTAGTTGGGAGGGAAAATGTGAAACATTTCAAAACTTCCCCCTTATTTGTGCACCCAAAGGTTCAAAAACCAGAGATATTTTTTCCGCATTTCCTAAATTTGGGGGTACATTGTCCCCTTCCTTTTTATCCAAGGTCGGAGTGGAGAGGCCGCCAGTGGGTTTCATCTGCTGAAAACTGGTTTTAGGGAAGCAGAATTTTTTTACAAAAGTGTTAGGAAAAAATGAAGGGGGAAAAAAAGCACAAACTCCATAACACATGAGAAGATCAAAAATGTTCCTGTAGGGCGAAGGCATGTTTCTATCAAAAAACATTTCTTTTTTCTAAACTAGTCAACTTGCTCAGTTAATTTCTTCCTTGTGGCAAAAGTGTTGGTCCATGTTCAGAATTCAGAAGAGCTCGGTTTTAAAAGACAACGCTTTTTCAAGTCGTCTGAATCATGAAGAAAACAGGTAAAAGAATTTTGTAGTGGCCAAGCGGTCATGCCAATCCCAAAGTGTTCAAAACACAGGAGTCAGACAGACCCTAAACAGCATGAAACTGACTTAAAAAGAGCTTAAATGTAATATTTACAAATAATGTTTTACATCTTTTTGTAGTTCCCCTCTGGTTTTGAGCTGTAGGGGCTGCAAGTGAACCTGGTTTGCAAAACACTTTTGAGAAAAAGCAAAAGGGTTTCATGTTCATCCACATTTTTCATCAAAAGATTTGGGGGGGTTGTCAAAAGGCCAAAAACCTGAAAAATCAAACATTTGTCCATTTCTGGCAACCAAAAAAAATCAGCCAAACTCCCAAACTATTCTATTTTCGGCTGAATTGTTTCCTTTGTCTTAATGAAAACTTGGGAGGGGTGAGGGGAATTGGTTGACAATGGTACTAATCACATAAAAAGCCAATTTGATCAAAAAGCCAATTGTTTGTTAAAAAACATTTGAAACGACAACAAACTAAATTGCAACTATCTCTTGCCCTGTGTTTAGGCCTTGCTCTGAAACCATGAGGCCTGGAAACTTTGGTTTTTAACTAAAGCTGAAACTGCCCTGTAATTGGTTAACACCAAGCGACAGGGCTGAAAGGCAAACACCATGCTGAAGACGTGAGAAAAGAAGGCGCGTTGGCGAGAATGCTTTGGGTACCACAAAAATGGACAGACTCTGATGAAACCCCCCCCAAGAGACCCAGACAGGACTGAAATACGTGCGAGAAACTCGGCCCACACTGTGACTGACAACAGAAGCTCTGACGGAAACGTCCCCCTTCGAACTCAGTGTCTTTGTCTGGTTGCAACACACAAACTAGCCAAGCATGGAGACAGATTGTGTAGGCGTGCAAATTCCAAGCTCTTCTCTTCGGTAGCTATAAGGCTCGTCCCGCACTAATGTCCCGCTCCTATAAACACTTGGACGTTCTTGTTTAGCAGGGTTTAGCATTCCGCCTGGACCGTAAGTCTCATTTGAAACCCAAAGCACAAACCGAACCTCAGGTGAGCCTGGCCTAAGACACGTATTGCCGCCTGAAACTCAGGAACGTTAGCTCTGTGGCCCTGCTTAATTTCATTCCCCTCAGGCCAGCAAAAAGGGAGTCTTGGGATGTTAACGTATCACTCACAACAACATCTTAATGACTTGGTGGTCCCAGCGACCAGCTGCATGGCAGCAGGAAAGAGGTGCTGGCGTAGGGTTGCCAGATACTTTCACAAAAAATCCCGAACATGGCAGGAAAAAAAAAATTGGTTGAGAAAAAAAAATGGGGAGCCAAAGTTGGTGAGAAAAAAAAAAGTCAGGTGTTTTCTGGTTTTTTTTTACCGGACAGGGGCCAGAAATGATGGACTGTCCGGGCAAAAACTGGACACCTGGTAACCCTGAACTGGGGGGGCAGGAACTCACGGCATGCTGATTCACTGCGGCGGGAATGGCATTCCAGGAAGTACCGCCTGCCAGCAGGAAGTGCGACAGGAAATGATGCACAAGCATATGGGAGAGGCTGAAAGGACACTCCTATAGTGGATCATTTTCCTGCACACTTCACGTTCAGGCAACTCTTCCTGGATTTATTTGCTTCAAGATTGGCGCCCTCCTATAACTCGCTAGCAGGCCGTGCTGCAGTAGAATCCTGCAGGCACTTTGTTACCCTTCTGCGCACCAGGCAAAAAAATCAAGCCGACCACGGGTGTTAGTGTTCATGAGCTCAGCAGGTCGCCTTCTCTTTCTGCCCAAAAGAGTTAGCACGAATACAGAAAAAAACAGTCCCTTCTTACCTTCATCAGATTCAACTACTGCCTCCCCTGCTAGCGCCAAGGGGGAAAGACAGGAGATGGACGTGCGAGGGAGAGGATGGACAGACCGGGGCAGAGAAAGGAAAAGCAGCGATGTGAGGAGAAGGAAGAGAGAAAGAGAAAAATCTTTGTTAATGCTCTTTGCTTTCTCGTCACCTGAATTGGCACAGACACGGGAAGGAGGCCGAGAGTTTTAAAGTTACTGTATTTAGGTGCCTAAACCCCATTGATTTCACACACCCCTGGCCCATCGCGCTCAGCCGACGGACTCATTCCTATGGCTCCCCCGTTAGTCTTGCCCTGCCAACCAGGTCCTAGGCAGGCGCTGCTTTATGTCCAAAAGAGAGGGTGTTATCAATTAGCAGGCTAATTCCCTTCCATTTGCTTTCCCTGGTCAGCACGCAGGTCTGGGGCGAAGCCGCACGAGCCTACACCAGGTGGCTCGCTGTGGGCTGAGGCAATTCCCTTGGAAACATTCCCACGGCGGCAGTTCTTCATTCCTGAGGCTGTGCGTCAGCCTTTCTGCTCTGACGCCCTCTGCTTCCCCACAGCGAGAGCCGGCCGCTGAAACGCTGCTGCCCACAGCCCCAGGCTTCCCCGAGGGGGGCCGCCCGCCCGGTAAACGCCGTGAGGAGCAGGCGACACGCAAGACTCCCAGCTTGGCGGGGGGGAGGCTGGCAAGCTGGGCTCTGTCCCTGAGCCCGCAGCCACAGGCCGGGAGAGCCCAGGTGAGAGTGACACAGACAGGCCAAGAGAGAAGAAGGGAGAAGGGGGTGGGGGGTGGAGAGAGCGAACCATGGACACAGTCTTCCACGCTCCTCCAGGACAGCCCACTGGCTTCCGCCAGCAAGGACTTCAGGTGCCGGCCCAGAGAGGAGAACACGGCCCCACAGGGCAGCGGGCGATGGGCCACCATGCTCCGGCACAGCTCCTTGCTAGCAGCCTTTCAGTGGCCACACCGCCCTGGTGGTATGTGGCTACGGGACCACTTGGCCGCAGGGCCGAGCATCCCCTTGTTCTAGAGCTGGAAGCAACCTCAAGGGGTGGTCTCGCCCCTCCCTGGATCTTGGCGGGGGTTGGCCTAGCGACCTTTGCAGAGCCCCGTGGTCCTAGGGCCAAGCCACGGCGGAATTGGTACACCAATACGTAGGGATCACTCGATGATGCTCTGCTCTGGTGGCTCCCTCAGGGCCACCTGGCCCTGTTGGAGGGCAGGACACGGGGCTGGACGGGCTGAGCAAATGCATCCGTTCTTCTGCACCACCGGCGAATTTCTCAACCCCCCTGGTGGCTCCAAGAACCTGCCTTTCCTGGCCACGGGCTCTGAGGCCCAGGACGGACGTCGAGCAACATCCGACTCTGGTGCACCTGCGGGGGTCCACACCTAGCCAGCCCTCGAGACAACCACGGGCCGCACCCCAGCTCGGGAGCAGCACCTGGAGAAACAGTGCGCTCTCCGCCTCTCTCTGCGGACGGACACGGTGGACTTGGGCCAGTATCTTGAGGTTGAATGTTTATGGCTCAGCTTTACCGGATCCCTCCGTTCTCCCAAATGGACGGCCCCGGTCCAGCAGAGTGGTCGCCATGCAGACCCGCCACCAGCCCTCGGACCCCTCCCGTTCACTCACCTCCTGTGGGTTGCAGCATGATGTCCGCTGGGTTATGGGGCTTCAGTCCCAAAGCAGACAGCGGGGTCTTGGCCAGGCCGGGCGGGGAGCGCACTGTAGTCAAGGCACACAGACACACACACAAAATCCAGTGGTCAGAGAAGAGGAATTCAATGTACAGCGCGAGAAACGTGAGCGGCGTCTCGGCTGCTACTGACGGGGAGTTTGCGGCCCTGGCTCTCCGAGTTCCACCCACCGGCTGTCGTTACGTCCTGGCAAGGGGCATGAGCAACTGGACAAGATGAAGCCGGCTGGCTGGCAGACCCCTTCTTAGACGTGAACCTTGGGCTTCCCTTGCTGGAGGCAGTGATGCAGCCAGGCTGGGTGTAAGGACGTTAAATAACGGTTCGCTGACTAGTCGAGGAGTCGATGGAATTTCCATCGACACCTCGACTCGTCGATAGGCGCTTCCATGTTCCCCCTTGGAAATCTACAAGGGTCCCCTGCTGGGGCTCTTGTGCATTTCCAAGGAGGAATGCGGAACTCCGCCTGCAGCCCGGGGCCGGCGGGAAGTCCCCCTGACTCCGGGCTGCACGCAGGTGCCAGCTTTGAAATCTACAAGAGTCCCCAGCGGGTACAATGGTACACGAGTGCCACGCGGAGCCGGGGTCAGCCGGGGACTCCTCAGCTGATGTCAGATTCCGTGGAAATGCCGGCTGGAGCCCGGGATCAGCTAGGGAACCCCCAGCTGATCCCAGGCTCAGCTGTGCGGTGCTGCCGCTTTGAAGTACTCCCTCTTCCTCCCCCCCCCCTTTGCTGCCTCTATCTGACAGAGGCAGCAAGGGGGAGTTGGGAATCGACTAGTCCTTAACATCCCTAGCCCGGTGCTGGCCGCGTGGGGAGGGAACCTAGACCCAGGGAGAAAAGCAGCCCCCGCTGCGGATTGGGGGGCAGCCGCAGGATGACGGGCCGTGGGGCCTGGAAGGCAGGGCAGGGTGACATGTTTCTTTGATGCTTGAGTGTGCTGGGGGCCTGAACCCCTTGCCTCCTAGAGAAGAGAGCCCTTGGGCAGCCCCAGCGTTAGGGGTGGGCCGCCAGGAAGACCGACTCCCCGGAGCTTGCAGGAAACCAGCTGGAGGGGTGAGGTGGCAAAGGAACAGCCCTCTGGCCAAACAGCAGCGCCCGCTATTGTCCTACCTCCTCTCACCCAGGGATCTCAAAGCGCCTTCATTATTGCTCACTAATTATGACCCCTGCCTGATGAGTGTGTTTAACCACCCTCGCTGGTAAACTGAGGCACGCAACGGTAACATGCCCTGCAGTGACCCAGGAAGTTGGCCTTTCACCTGCACTCAGAGGGTGCGTCTACACAGCCCCTGAAACTCAAAACAGGCTTTTCCAAAATCAGGCGCGTCTACACGGCGCCAAATTTCAAAATATCACGCTCTTCGAGCCATCCCTTATCCCTTGTGCGACGAGGCTTACCAGGATGGCGAAACAGCGCGTCCGTTATTTCCAACAATATTTCGAAATAACGGGCGAATTCCTTGGACGCGGGGCAGCTATTTCGGGACTCCTCCGGTATCCCGGAACAGCTGCGCAGTGTAGACGTACTCCCACTGATGTTAACACAAAGACAGGAGGCCATTTTCCGGCGTCTGTGTCCCCGATCTACACCCAGAGGGACTCCATCGATTTAATCCGAGAGACTCCAGGAATAAGGGATATTCCGGAAAAGGCTTTATTTTCCGAAAGATCCCCGTCTAGACTGGCGCTTTTTTCCAGCAAAATCCCCGCTGCATTTGCAATTCCGACTTGGCTAATCTGCATCCCTTTTCCGGAAAAGGGTGCCAGTGTAGACACAGCCCAGGTGCAAACGAGAACAGAATACACCCTGGATGCTCTCACCCCACCATGCCCACAAACCAGTCCCCTTACCTCATCTCCCACCTGAAAAACTAGTTTTAGCCTAACGGGGGACCCACGCTTTATGTCAAAGCATTTGCTCAACCCACTGGATTGGTTCTGGTACAGAAACCTAATTGGAGCCCAGAATGTGAGTTTTCACACATACAGCGTAGATACCCCTCTGTAAAACCAGCTAGCCACGCGTGTATCACACACGCAGCAGCCTGTGTACCAACGCACCCACAACCGGGCACGTACGTGTTATCAAGGGAGAGGCTGGTCTGGCGTATGCATGCTCACAGGAGGGTGGGTGGTATATATAGCACACCTGCTACAGAGACAGAGTACCCATGTGAAGCAGGGGCAAACAGAGGCAGCTGTGTGTCTTACAGGTCTCACAAATACAGCTTTGTACAGCGCCTGTGTGCGGTGGGGGAGGACCGTCTCGCTGTTGATTTCTATCTCCCTGACGCGGCATTTTACCAGCGCCAAACAATTCCGGCTTTCTCGCTGGAAGGAAGAGGTGTGGGAATGTTGCAAAAAGCAAAAACGAAGGCGACACACGAGGCTCCGAGCTGCCGAAAGGAAATTTGCCACATTCCTTTCGCTTGCATTTCAGCCTTCGGACTTACAGATGCAGACCCGCACCCACGCCGGCCGCGGGAGGAGGCGGAGGGCGGGCGTGGAAACAAAAGCCAGGCCTCATGAGTCGTCACGGCTGCTGCGTTGGTTAGAACCGTTTGCTCAATGCGGATAAGTGACTGGCCGACCGAGCAATTCCACCGACGGGCCAAGACTTCCAGACAAGTGTCCTGCTAACGCATTAGGGCTGCTTCGGACAGGTGGGAGGTTGTTGCCCGGGAGAAAAATCCAGCAGAACAAGGGGAGCTGAACCTCCAACCATTGTGAAATCCAGCCAGCAGCGAGCAGCAACGCCACGGTCACCCGCTCTCGGCAGAATCGAAATCCACTTGCATCGCTGCAGCCTAACGACCCCAGCTACGCTGTTCCGGGCAGGGTACTGATTTTAGTTCTCCCCTCCCCCGGATGTGAGCAGCTGGATGTGGGATTCCAGATCGGATGTGGGTGGATCTGCAGCTCGTTATGGGCAAATCTCAAAAGATTCAACTCCCGAGCTGCTCAGATGTTCACCGGAGCCTGCCAGAGCAGGGCCGAGATGCAAACCAGCCCCTGCGTCGCACAGGGCGAGAAGTGTCTCAACCCTCCACGACGAACCTGTCGCTCTGAAATTCATCCAGGATGAACGGCTGGCAAGAGGCCTGGGGGTCAGATCCAGCACGTCAGTAGCTAGGCACCTGTGTGCCCCATGGCACATCACTAGCTAGGCATACGTGTGCCCCACGGCACATCTATAGGTAGGCACACGTGTGCCCCACGGCACGTCTATAGCTAGGCACACATGTGCCCCACGGCACGTCTATAGCTAGTCACCTGTGTGCCCCACAGTACGTCAATAGCTAAGCACACATGTGCCCCCACGGCACGTCTATAGCTAGGCACCTGTGTGCCCCACGGCACATCACTAGCTAGGCACCCGTGTGCCCCACGGCACGTCTATAGCTAGGCACCCGTGTGCCCCGCGGCACGTCTATAGCTAGGCACCCGTGTGCCCCACGGCACGTCTATAGCTAGGCACACGGGGGATACAGGCTGGTTCTCCATTTAGGCTCTTTCGAGCAAGGCGGTGCAGCCCCTACCGCATGGGGGTCCTGCTTGGTTCTAGGTGCTCCTGCCGGATACCTAGGACTAACCAGTGGTGTCCAACCAACGACTTCGGGGCTTGTGTTTGAGCTGGAGTCCAAGCAGGCTGGCCTCAAAAAGTGCCCCGGCCAACTTGCTCCCACGCCTGGCCGGCCTGCCGCCTGTCTTGGGGCTACAGCCACGCTCTCCGGGGAAGGCTTCCGGTAATTTGCAAACAATCCCATGGGGCCTATTTTTCAGAACCTTCCGCCTTCGAAACGAGCCACCTTCCCTGCCACCCGTCCGACTGTCCAGAACTCGGAGGAAGCCATGAAAACGGACCTCACATGGCCTTTCTGTTCCTCTGCCACGCCACTGCTTCACATCAGCCCTCCCTCGCAGAGCTGGCAGCAGAGGCTGTCACCGAAAGGGAGAAAGTTCCTTCTGCCAGCCCGGTCCGACCGGGAGGTGCCACGCTTGGACATGGCGCTATCTCAGAAAGCCGTGGCCGAGATGCCCCCACTGCTCCGTCACCAAGCCACGTGTCTGGGTTCTCCTCTGTCCCCCTCCCCCCGAAAATACTTGGTTTTTTTTAAACTCGGGTGGAGTTGAAATTGGGCGCTTGCCTCAAACAAACGGGAGTCCTCCTCGGAATATGAACGCTCTCCTCAAACAAACGGGAGTTCTCCTCGGAATATGGGTGCTCTCTTCAAACAAACGGGAGCTCTCCTTGGAATATGGGCGCTTGCCTCAAACAAACGGGAGTCCTCCTCGGAATATGAACGCTCTCCTCAAACAAACGGGAGTTCTCCTCGGAATATGGGTGCTCTCTTCAAACAAACGGGAGCTCTCCTTGGAATATGGGCGCTTGCCTCAAACAAACGGGAGTCCTCCTCGGAATATGAACGCTCTCCTCAAACAAACGGGAGTTCTCCTCGGAATATGGGTGCTCTCTTCAAACAAACGGGAGCTCTCCTTGGAATATGGGCGCTTGCCTCAAACAAACGGGAGTCCTCCTCGGAATATGAACGCTCTCCTCAAACAAACGGGAGTTCTCCTCGGAATATGGGTGCTCTCTTCAAACAAACGGGAGCTCTCCTTGGAATATGGGCGCTTGCCTCAAACAAACGGGAGTCCTCCTCGGAATATGAACGCTCTCCTCAAACAAACGGGAGTTCTCCTCGGAATATGGGCGCTCGTCTCAAACAAACGGGAGATCTCCTCAGAATATGGGCGCTCGTCTCAAACAAACGGGAGATCTCCTCAGAATATGGGCGCTCGTCTCAAACAAACGGGAGATCTCCTCAGAATATGGGCGCTCGTCTCAAACAAACGGGAGATCTCCTCAGAATATGGGCGCTCGTCTCAAACAAACGGGAGATCTCCTCAGAATATGGGCGCTCGTCTCAAACAAACGGGAGATCTCCTCAGAATATGGGCGCTCGTCTCAAACAAACGGGAGATCTCCTCAGAATATGGGCGCTCGTCTCAAACAAACGGGAGATCTCCTCAGAATATGGGCGCTCGTCTCAAACAAACGGGAGATCTCCTCAGAATATGGGCGCTCGTCTCAAACAAACGGGAGATCTCCTCAGAATATGGGCGCTCGTCTCAAACAAACGGGAGATCTCCTCAGAATATGGGCGCTCGTCTCAAACAAACGGGAGATCTCCTCAGAATATGGGCGCTCGTCTCAAACAAACGGGAGATCTCCTCAGAATATGGGCGCTCGTCTCAAACAAACGGGAGATCTCCTCAGAATATGGGCGCTCGTCTCAAACAAACGGGAGATCTCCTCAGAATATGGGCGCTCGTCTCAAACAAACGGGAGATCTCCTCAGAATATGGGCGCTCGTCTCAAACAAACGGGAGATCTCCTCAGAATATGGGCGCTCGTCTCAAACAAACGGGAGATCTCCTCAGAATATGGGCGCTCGTCTCAAACAAACGGGAGATCTCCTCAGAATATGGGCGCTCGTCTCAAACAAACGGGAGATCTCCTCAGAATATGGGCGCTCGTCTCAAACAAACGGGAGATCTCCTCAGAATATGGGCGCTCGTCTCAAACAAACGGGAGATCTCCTCAGAATATGGGCGCTCACCTCAAACACACGGGAGTTCTCCTCAGAATATGGGCACTTGCCCCAAACAAACGGGAGCTCTCCTCGGAATATGGGCGCTCACCTCAAACACACGGGAGCTCTCCTCGGAATATGGGCGCTCGCCTCAAACAAACGGGAGTTCTCCTCGGAATATGGGCGCTCGCTTCAAACACACGGGAGCTCTCCTCGGAATATGGGCGCTCGCCTCAAACAAACGGGAGTTCTCCTCGGAATATGGGCGCTCGCCTCAAACACACGGGAGCTCTCCTCGGAATATGGGCGCTCACCTCAAACACACGGGAGCTCTCCTCGGAATATGGGCGCTCGCCTCAAACAAACGGGAGTTCTCCTCGGAATATGGGCGCTCGCCTCAAACAAACGGGAGTTCTCCTCGGAATATGGGCGCTCGCCTCAAACAAACGGGAGTTCTCCTCGGAATATGGGCGCTCGCCTCAAACAAACGGGAGTTCTCCTCGGAATATGGGCGCTCGCCTCAAACAAACGGGAGTTCTCCTCGGAATATGGGCGCTCGCCTCAAACAAACGGGAGTTCTCCTCGGAATATGGGCGCTCGCCTCAAACAAACGGGAGTTCTCCTCGGAATATGGGCGCTCGCCTCAAACAAACGGGAGTTCTCCTCGGAATATGGGCGCTCGCCTCAAACAAACGGGAGTTCTCCTCGGAATATGGGCGCTCGCCTCAAACAAACGGGAGTTCTCCTCGGAATATGGGCGCTCGCCTCAAACAAACGGGAGTTCTCCTCGGAATATGGGCGCTCGCCTCAAACAAACGGGAGTTCTCCTCGGAATATGGGCGCTCGCCTCAAACAAACGGGAGTTCTCCTCGGAATATGGGCGCTCGCCTCAAACAAACGGGAGTTCTCCTCGGAATATGGGCGCTCGCCTCAAACACACGGGAGCTCTCCTCGGAATATGGGCGCTCGCTTCAAACAAACGGGAGTTCTCCTCGGAATATGGGCGCTCGCCTCAAACACACGGGAGCTCTCCTCGGAATATGGGCGCTCGCCTCAAACAAACGGGAGTTCTCCTCGGAATATGGGCGCTCGCCTCAAACAAACGGGAGTTCTCCTCGGAATATGGGCGCTCGCTTCAAACAAACGGGAGCTCTCCTCGGCATATGGGCGCTCGCCTCAAACAAACGGGAGTTCTCCTCGGAATATGGGCACCCGCCTCAAACAAACGGGAGTTCTCCTCGGCACGTGGATGCCCAGTGTCATTTTCAGGGTGCTTTCTTGGCAGAGGGGGGTGCTCCCCCCAAAACTGGGTTCAATGATTCCCCTCACGTGCCCTCGGGGGGGACACACATGCAGGCGGCTGGCAATAGTGTTAAGACTTGGCGAGAGGAACAAAATGGCCACCAACGCAAAGCCGTCTGCCGCGCATGGCCTGGTGGAGGGGGGAGCGAAGCGGAGAAGCGGGCCGACAGGGAGAGGGGGGGAGGGATGAGAGACCCCCCAAAACTGGGTTCAATGATTCCCCTCACGTGCCCTCGGGGGGGACACACATGCAGGCGGCTGGCAATAGTGTTAAGACTTGGCGAGAGGAACAAAATGGCCACCAACGCAAAGCCGTCTGCCGCGCATGGCCTGGTGGAGGGGGGAGCGAAGCGGAGAAGCGGGCCGACAGGGAGAGGGGGGGAGGGATGAGAGAACCGAAAAGGGGGATTAAATGGGAGGGGACTGGAACGCGCCGCGCCATGACCTCTCCCTGGCGTTGCGAGGGCCGCCCGCCGGTTCCCCCGCCAGGGGCCTGTGGTGCGGTGGGGGAGGCTCTCACCTCCGCTGGAGGGCGGGCTGCTTGGCGGCGTCCCCTCCTGCTCCTCAAAGGCCTCCTTGTAGCTGTGGAGATGGGGCTGCGGAGGAAAGCGAGAGGCCGCGTCAGCGAGAGCAGAGCCCGGAGCTGAGCGGGGTGCGGGAAACTTTCCTGCCCTTCCCGCAAACCCGGCTCCAGGTCCCCCGCTGCCGGGGGCTTCCCTGCCCAAAGGACGGGGTCTCTCTTCAGCATCCTTGTGGGCCTCTGGCCAGCCGCGGCCCCTCCTCCCAGCGGGGTCCCCCCCCACGCAAAGGCACCTCTCTGGGCCTCCCTCCTGGGTTGGCGGCAATGCTGCTGACCACCTCCGGCGCGAAGCTGTGGACCGGCGACCGGACAGTGGGGCTCTGGGGCATGCCAGGCTCCTGGGGGCCGTTCTCGTACTGGCCGTCGCTGGTCGTGCGTCTTCGGACGGGCCCGCCGGGCTCCTCCGGGGACTTTTCCCGGGCCTGCACCCCTGGAATTCAAGCGCACATCGGGAGGCACGTGTGAGCCAGACTCACGCAGGCCCCGTTAACGAGCGGCGTGGGGCATGCTGGGGGGAGTGGGCTCTGGCCACGCTCCACGGTGCCTGGGGCTAGGAAGGGAGGAGAGGTGGGGGCACCAGCTCTGTGGGGAAGCCGGCAACTCCTCCACTTCCCTCTTCCCAGCATGGGCAGAGTCAGGCGAAGAGGCTGGTGGCTCTAATTCACCCTTGGGGAGCGACCTGACAGCTTAGCCTGGCACAGGACTGATTTATTCCAGGCACGAGCCACCCCCCCCCCCCCCACGGGCCACCCCCCCCCCATTG